TTTTGTTTTTTTTTTTTTTTTTTTTTTTTTTTTTTTTTTTTTTTTTTTTTTTTTTTTTTTTTTTTATAAAGCTTTGTGAGCATGTTGCAGTAGAATGGGCTGAAAATGATGCGAGTATCATGTACCTTACCTCTGCAACTCCTGGGCAGAAACACTGAGTTTGATCATTTTGATATCTGGTGCAGATGGTACTCCTATTTCTGATGTATTCTGGTATCTCCCTGCTTCAATGGCCTGTTCAGCTTCCTCAACTTTTTCCATATAAGGCAAGTGTCAGCTCAGTGGTTAAGACCTTGGACTACTGATCAGAAGGTCATGAGTTCAAACCTCAAACGGTGCTGGGCCTTTGAGCAAGGCCCTCAACTGCTCAGGTGTATACATGAGATAAATGTAAGTCGCTCTGGATAGGGGCCGTAAATGTAGATGTTGCTATATTGCAGCTATGATTGAGTCTTGAGTTCAGCTAGCAAAGTTTGTTAGTTCATGCAGCATTCAAGTTCACAACTCCTTCTGTTTTGGGGTGTGTCACAGGCTTTTATTTATGTTTTATAATTGAGTTTAGTGAGATTCATATGTAGTGAAGATACTGGAACACAGATAAAGGGGCTTTGGAAGAGGACTTGTTTGTACAGTTGGTTATTGTGTTTCAGAGCAAGGTCCTTACTGAATGTTTTTCACATTAAGCTGTTATTGTTTTGTTCTGTCATCTTTGCTCCAGTTGCTGGATGTGTTTGGTGTCCTGTGTTACTGCTGAAGGCATTACTGCATAACTGAAAGATTTATTTAAATCTTTTTTTCCTCTTTTTGTTTGTTTTTGGGCCTAGCAACCAGTGCATAGCGAGTGAGGATTTCAGTTCACTGGGTTCACTATACTGCACTCATCTTGTACCTGGTGGATAGACTGAATAGATATAGCAGATTTGATGATCTAACTTTGTCTGCATGCAAAAAAGTTTTAAAGTGGTCTTTCCCAGCTATTTCAGGCCATCCTTTCAGCAGTCAGTCACAGATACTTCCTGGGTACCAGCCATTTTCGCCATCTTGATGTATGTTTTTGCACAAATGATCATGTGCCAGGTATTTTTTTTTTTTGTATCACATTTCCAAGGATATACACCACCTGACATATTCTTGTTATCCTGTGCCAAAACAGGTTATATGGAAATCCTGTGTCAGAACATTTTGCCTGGAAATGTTTCTCCTATCTGTCAGAGTTTTTGAGCAGGTGATGCTATAAATACTCTGAATTAGATGGGTTTGTTGTAAAAGTATGGAACTACATGCTTGTGAACTGAATGAAGAAGAGCAGTGAAGAGAAGCTGATTTGAGAACAGTGCTAGAGTCAGTTGATGAGAGTTTCTTTCATCACTTCCATTCCCAAGGCTTGTAAACCGTCAGTGTGTTGAGCCTTTGCAACTGAACATGCAACCGAGTCTCAACTAGAGGTTTACAGTTCCGATTCCTTCAGTGGGCTGGATTAGTGAAGAATTTGTATAAATCCAACACACATATACACACACCAGAGATACCAGCTATGAATAGATGATGACACATGCAAATGTTTGGATGAATCTATGTGTATGTAAGCACTGTGTCTCTAAGTGAGAGAGCATGTCTGGGCCTTGAACAGAGCCATGACTTGAAGCGTGACTTTATTCGTTTTCTCAGTTTTATTGGTTTTCGGGCGTTGTCTCATTTAAATCCTCATTTAAAAAGATCAAGTTAGGGCTGCTATTTGAATTTGGAAATGTAAAAGTAACCCTTAGGGCTCTGTGTGTGAGCACTTGTGTATTCATGAACTTCCTTTCCTCCCAAACGTCTCACTATGTGTGCTTCTCATTAAGCTGTCCTCCAGAATTCAAATCCTTGACAGATTTGGACAGGTTTCCTGGTCTCAAACATCTCATATTAAACTAATTTCAGATGACTGTGCTTATAAAATCAAGGTGAAATAGTCATCCTGATTTATACTTTCAATCTGTGTTGCCTACATACAAATACAGTATTTTATTGTTGCACTGTGATACTTTGTGTATGCATCTGTAGTGTGTCAACACGGAGATATCATTTGTGTACAAACTTGGCAGAAGTCTGTTGCAAATGTTGACATTGCCGTTGCTATTCAGCATCACTAAGCTGTTTGCCCTTAAATTTAAACTAATAAACTAGATTTAGTTTATTAATTTACTTTGTTGTGATGAAATTTCTTGCTGTGTTATCCCTGAATTTGTGAGTCACCCATCAGGTGCCCCAATTGTGTGTGTGCATGTGTGCGTGTGCTATTTTATACCTGCATGTATTTGTTGGACATTTAACAAATGATGAAGTGAACTCTGGCCATGCAGATTTCATGATTCCCTCTTTTTACTTTTTGCTATACAAGCGATTGCAGATGAGGCTCAGTGTTCACCTGGAGAGATCCCTGCTTTCCCAGGAAAATAAACACAAGAGCTGTCTGTCTTGCGACTTCTTTTTTCCAAATGCAACTGGTGGTTGTTTGTTTTGTTTTCTTTACGGAAACAAGGAAAAGAAAAAAAGAAAAATTAGTCTGTCACCGATAATCTTATCCAACCTCAAATCTTATAATGTGCGTTTGCAATTATACTTATTGTGCTTTTGGCTTGACCACCAATGATCCTGCAGCGAATAACCATGGTTTGTGTGTCCTTCTCTCATAATATTTATGGTTCAATGCTGTTTTCAGCACATCACTGTTTGTGGCTGTTCCTTCCTTATGGCCTGGTCACTTAAAAATCAAAAAAATTCAAACCAGATCTAACTTGACGGCTCTAAATTAAATTCTGAGTTACATACTACAGCTTTAGTGTTAGTACCAGGCTTAATCACAGTCCCATCTATTTTAGTTAGTGAATGAGCTCTGTGATATGTCTTAGGTTGCTCCAAACTGTTCCATCTTGTTACACCGAGCCTTGCTGGAATCCCATTGCAACTTATAAAAGTCACCTGCAATTTTTGCACACATGTCTTACGGATAGCTTATAAGCAGTCATCATTTTACAATTTAGTGTGCACCCGTAACTCAGTACTAGATTGCCATTCACTTCACTATTCTTTGCAGAATGTTGGTCTTTGTTAGATTATATATTGCATATATAAATTATGTAAATTTGGATTGAATATTCCTTCATAAATTGTAAAGGCAGAATATTTGTAATGATTTTGACCCACTCCACTAGAGGGCAAGGGGGAAATCAACTATTATTTATTTCTGCATTATGAATTAAAGTAGATAGCAGTACTATGTAGAAAGCGATGCATTTATATTTCTCTTCACATATTGACTTGGTGCCCGTCTGCTTGTGCTTTAATTAAAGCAGTATGACTTACCCTAATTGTACTGTAGGGATCTGAGTGATCTTACACTAGTTTGGTTAAGAAACAGGAGACACTGTGGTAAAGCTGGCAAATTTTCCTCAGTACCAGTGGAGACGCATTGGGCACCACGATGACTCGGCGCAACCTCGAGACATGCCAGTGACTCACAGCTTCAAAGCCAAGGTTTGAATTGTGGTGGGAGGTGGAGCCTGAGCCTGCACTGCATCTTTAATTGAGGTTTGTGTGGCATTTTGTGCCGAGCGACAGATTCCTTCTCCTACTAATTGAGAATGGATGGCAGTTCTGTCCCATGCTGGTATCACCCAGTATGTGTTGTTGTGAGTGCTCAGGCAGTGAGGTCATCAGGGGGAGACGGAGAGGTGTGATGATACATGAACAACAGGAGGCTGATGATCATATGAGGAGTGACATTGCTGAACGAATTATTCACTTTGCTCATCTGTTGTTTTACCTCAGCTTTGTGGACTGTGTGTGTGTCTGCTTGTGTGTGTATGTTTGTCTGCCTTTGTTGATTACATACTGGGACATATTCTTTGTCAGCATCAGTTCTAAAAGTTTAGCTTCCCATCAGCACCCTCTCTGTCTTTCACTCTCTCTCTCACTCACACACACACACACACACATGCACACACACAGACTAGGAATGTAACCGAATACAAATACATTATTCAGATTGAACAGATAATATGTTCCAAACGGATACAAATACAAACATGAACAGGAGGGCGACTGTTTGGGGTTTTTTTTTTTTTTTTTTTTTTTTTTTTTTTTTTTTTT